GCATGTTAACAAGAAGCGGGCTATGGGGGGGCCCCGCCCCGGGCATGTGGCTGGGGGGGGCCGCCCCCGGGCGGGCAAGTGTCCCCGCCCCCTGGCGCCCGGCCGGCGAACGGCCACGCCCCCTGGCACCCGCCAACCTGAAAAGGTTGGGGACCACTGTTCCAGAGGATTATAGCACAAGGTGGTATAAATGCAGTTGGCATAATGGCATGGTCATATGGACCATGTGTCCATATTGTGAATTGAAGAATTTGACATTATGACCTTTTAATAATTACCAATACCAAGGACAAGCTACATATTCAAAGAATGCACACAGTTTTAACCTCAATCATACAGGTGCTGACTCCATGGGTGCTCCAGGACTAGAGTACCTACAGAGAAAAGTTAGCAGGTGCTCAGCAATCACTGGCAGCAGTGCTCTCCTCTCTCCCCCTCCACCTACCCACTAACAGTTGTTTTGTGGTATGCACAAAATGCTGGAAGGGAGTGGGAGGAACAGTGATGGGAAGAGGTAGAGCAGGTATGGGGCAGGGAGTGACACTGAGTGAGAGCAAGATCAAGCATTCCCCAGCGAGGCTACATCTACACTGCAGAGTATTTCAGGATATTTATGGTATCACGAAATAGCTGCTCTGCGTCTTTTAAGCAAACCCGTTATTTCAAAATAATGTGCTTGCTAGTCCAATGTGTCTGTAAACTCTGTTCCATGAGGATTAAAAGACATTTCAGAATAGTGATTTATTTTTAAATAAGTGCTGCGTAGACACCGCCAAATTTTGAAATAAGCTATTTTGAAATTAACTCGAAATAAGCTACGCAATTTGCATAGCTCAGACTAGGCAGCTTATTTCGCGCTATAGATGCAGTGTAGATGCACCCCTAGAGGGGAAGTTGGCACCTATGATCTCAACTCTGTGTACATGTTTGCTCATTTAGACTGCAAGCAGCTTTGTGCAAGGATTTCTCTTCTACAGCAAAGAAACAATCATGTTTCAAATCATTTGCACTTGCTGGAAGACAAAATATTAACTTCAGAACTCTGCTGGAATTTCTGTTCCGAATTTTGGGATCTTTAGAAAATTCCAAAACGCAGTTACAGGTATTCTACTAATTACTACACAAGTACAAAAATATAAAACAATTTTCATAACAGTTTCCCAGAATATCTGTCATTGTCTTAAAAGCTTCACATTCATTGCACAATCATGACTCTTGAAAAATTAAGCCCATCACTGCATTTCCTTTATGCTCCAGCTGACAGAATCCTGCACAATTGTAACAACCACCAGTGCCAAGCTGAGATATTTTGTTCCCTCTCAAACAAACTCAATGGCCAGTCATCTAGCCTAATGGCTTCTATTTAGGGTTGTGACACTACCCTCTAAATTCAAGCTTGCCTATATGCCATGCAATGTGGATAGGGATGCACGAAAGTCCAGTATGTAAAACTGGATAAAGCAGTGAAACAAGACTTAACTAGGGTTTCCAGCAAGGTAAACGCTGCATTTAAAAATGGGCTGAATAACTACTTTGATTTTTTTCCCTAAAATAATAAAAGCAAACATGCTTTAACAGGAGTACTGTGAGCAAGACAAGAGAAGCCATTCTTCCACTCCACTCTGCACTGATTAGGCCTCAGGTGGAATATTGTGTCCAGTTCTGGGCACCACATTTCAAGAAAGATGTGGAGAAATTGGAGGAGGTCCAAAGAAGAGCAATAAAGATGATTAAAGGTCTAGACAACATGAGTTATGAGGGAAGACTGAAAGGACTGGGCTTGTTTACTTTAGCAAAGAACACTGAGAGGGAACATGATAGAGGTTTTCAAGTATATAAAATGGTGTTACAAGGAGGAGGGAGAAAAACTGTTCTCCTTGGCCTCTGAGGATAGGACAAACAGCAATGGGCTTAAATTGCTGCAAGGGAGGTTTAGGTTGGACATTAGGCAAAACTTCCTGTCAGGGTGGTTAAGCACTGGAATAAATTGCCTGGGGGAGAGGGGAAGATGAGGAATCTCCATCACTGGAGATATTTAAGAGCAGGTTAGACAGATCATCCTGACAGGTGTCTACACAGTGCTTGGTCCTACTGTGAGGGCAAGGGACTGGACTCGACCTCTCGACATCCCTTCCAGTTCTAGGATTCTGTAATTCTTTTTCAAAACCAGAACTGACTTCTACTATTTTCAAATGCAGAAATTCTTTAAGTCTTACTCTGACTCTTGATAGTGGAAGCTTTCTGATTGCTAGTTCCTTTAGTATAGGGGGAACAGGTAGCAACTTCACAGTACTAGATTGTGATTCAAAAGCTGTAACACCTACACTGTCTAACAAGCTTTTGAAATTCTGCAGCAAGAAAGCCTCTATCTAGAGCAGTGTTTCCCAATTTTATTTGGCCACAGAACCCTTTTTAGCTTGAAAGAATTTCAAGGAAACCTTAGGTTCCAAACAACAAACAAACAAAAAGCCCTGCTGCGATTTTCTGTGGTGCACCAATTGGGAAATACTGATATTGAAGTGTTTTTCCACATGAAATTCCAAGTCACTTTTTTCTCTATTTGCATTCCTCTGGAAAGCTTGGGCAGAATGCCAAAGTAGTAGTAACAATCAACTTCTGGAACTTCTTGCCAGAGGATATGGTGAAGGCTAGGGTTTAATTTTAACAGGGTTCAAAATAGGGATGCAATAGTGTAGTCGATTAACCAATAAGCAAAAGCTTATAGGTTAACCTACAGACTACATGCATTCTCTCTGCCCCCACCCCCCCAGTAAATTTTTTAGCAGGCTGGCCAGCAGCCCTGCCCAGTCCCAGCTTGTGCCGGATCCAGGACCTACCCCCATTGCAGCTCTGTATTTAAAGTGTATTAGCAGCCAGCTAAGTTCTGGCTCATGCCAAGTCGGGGAGTTCAGACTTCCCGTACCCCCAGGCAGGGCCTGCTGCCAACCCATGCTGCTGCCTCTGATAGAGAGGCAGCAGCACGGAATGGCGGGGGGCTGGAGCGCACAGGTTGCCAGCCCCACTCCCAAGGACTAGAGAATAGTTGACTGACATAAGAATTCAGTTAACCAATATTTAACATCCCTAGTTCAAAAAAGAGCTAGATAGATTCATGGAGGTTAGGTCCATCAATGGCTATTAGCCAGGATGGGTAGGAATTGTGTCCCTAGCCGCCGTCTGGAAATGGGTGACAGGGGAGGGATCACATGATGATTACCTGTTGTGTTCCCTCCCTCTGGGACATCTGGCATTGATACTGAGCTAGATGGACCGTTGGGCTGACTCAGTATGGCCATTCTAAAGGCCAGCAACCATGCTGAGATAGAGGAGCTCTCAGAACAGATGTAGCACCAGAGAAAGGAGGACACACCCCACATTCACTCTGGCCACCAGCTGCTATAACTCTAGAACAGGGGTCGGCAATCTACAGCATGCGTGCCACTTAGGGTACACAAGCCAATTTTCAATGGCATGCAGGAAGGAGGTCAGCCCCACCCCACCCTTCTTATCCCATGGAGCAGCTATAGAGCACTCCCTCCTCCCTGCAACAGGTAAGACTGCAGTGGAAGAAGGCAGTGCTGGGGCTGAAGCTCCTTAGTGGTGCCTCAGCCAGGGCTGCTTCTGGACCATGTGGCCGTGGCAGCAGGGCCTCCAGAGCCAGTCCTGGCAGTGGTAGCGGAGCCCCCCTTTGTGGTGGCCCAGGACAGCATGGCTGCAGCCACTGCTACAAAGGGGAAAAAAGCCAGGTAAGGTCCCCCCTCATGCCAAGACCCCCCCCCGCACACGCCCCAATCTCCTCACTCCCCTCTCTCTGCCCCTGCCAAGACCCCACACCCTAGCTTTCTGACTCTTTCCTTTGGTCCTGCACCCTCCCTTCTGACCAGACACCCCACCCTGCTCCTGCACCTTCCCCCCCGGCCTGGCAAGACCAGACACCCCCACCTGCATCCACTGTTGCTGCTACACCTTCTTTCCTGGCCATATACTGCCAGGAAAGATGCACCCTCCCTGGCTCCTGATCCCTCCACCTGGCCAGACACCCCACTGCCAGCCTGCTTCTGTACCCTACCTCCCACACAGACCTCGCAACATCTCCCCCTTTTGCACCCTACTTCCTTCCCAGATTCTGCATCCCATCCCTGCCCTACTTATCATGGAATCATAGGGCTGGAAGAGACCTCAGAGGTCATCAAGTCCAGCTCCTTGCCCAAAGCAGGACCAATCCCAACTAAGTCAACCCAGCCAGGGCTTTGTCAAGCCAAGACTTAAAAACCTCTAGGGATGGAAATTCCGCCACCTCCCGAGGTAACCCATTCCAGTGCCTTACCACCCTCCTAGTGAAAGTTTTTCCTAATAGCCAACCTAGACCTCCCTCACTGTAACTTGAGTCCATTGCTCCTTGTTCTGCCATCCGTCACTACTGAGAACAGCTTCTCTCCATCCTCTTTGGAGTCTCCCTTCAGGAAGCTGAAGGTTGCTATCAAATCCCCCCTCACTCTTCTCTTCTGCAGACTAAATAAGCCCAAATCCTTCAGCCTCTCCTCATAGGTCATGGGCTCCAGCCCCCTAATCATTTTGGTTGTCCTCCGCTGGACCCTCTCCAATGCGTCCATATCCTTTGTATTGGTGGGGGTCCAGAACGGGATGCAATACTCTAGATCCGGCCTCACCAGATCCGAATAAAGGGGAATAATCGCTTCTCTAGATCTGCTGGCAATGCTCCTCCTAATGTAACCTAATATTCCATTCGCCTTCTTGGCTACAAGGGCACACTGTTGACTCATATCCAGCTTCTCATCCACTGTAATCCCCAGGTCCTTTTCTGCAGAACTGCTGCTTAGCCATTCAGTCCCCAGCCTGTAACAATGCTTGGGATTCTTCCATCCCAAGTGCAGGACTCTACGCTTGTCCTTGTTGAACCTCATCAAATTTCTTGTGGCCCAATCTCTAATCTGTCTAGGTCACTCTGGACCCTATCCCTGCCATCCAACATATCTACCTCTCCCCTCATCCAGGTCATAACAAAGATATTGAACAAAACCAGCCCTAGAACCAATCCTTGGTGAACTCCGCTAGAAAACGACCACCAACCTGACATCGAGCCGTTAATCACTACCCATTGGGCCAGACAGTCTAGCCAGCTTTCTATCCATCTTCCAGCCCATTTATCTAATCCACATTCTCTTAACTTGCTGGCAAGAATATTGTGGGAGACCGTATCAAAAGCTTTGCTAAAGACAAAGTATATCACATCCACGACTTTCCCATATCCACAGAGCCAGTTACCTGGATCATAGAAGCTAAACAGATTGGTCAGGCATGACTTGCCCCTGGTGAATCCATGTTGACTATTCCTGATCACTTTCCCCTCTTCCAAGTACTTCAAAATGGGTTTTTTGAGGATCCCCTCCATGATTTTTCCAGGGACTGAGGTAAGGCTGACTGGTCTGTAGATCCCTGGATCGTCCTTCTTTAAAGACGGGCACTACACATTTGCCTTTTTCCAATAATCTGGGATCTCTCCTGATCTCCGCGAGTTTTCAAAGATAATGGCCAAAGGCTCTGCAATGACATTTGCCAACTCCCTCAGTACTCTCAGATGCATCAAATCCAGACCCATGGATTTGTGCATGTCTAGCTTTTCTAAATAGTTCTTAACCTGTTCTTTCCCCTCCAAGTGCTGCCCACCTGCTTCTCATACCACATTACCTAGTGCAGTAGTCTGGGAGCTGATGTTGTCTGTGAAGACTGAAGTAAAGAAAGCACCGAGTGCTTCAGCTTTTCCCACATCATCTTTCACTAGGTTACCTCCCTCATCCAGTAAGGGCCCCACACCTTCTCTGATAGGTTTCTACAGATATGTTAGCAATAAGAAGGTTTTCTTGTTACCCTTCACATCCCTTGCTAGCTGCAATTCCAGTTGTGCTTTCATCTTCCTGATAACTCCCTGCATTCTTGAGCAAGATATTTATACTCCTCCCTAGTTAGCTGGCCAAGTTTCCACTTCTTGTAAGCTTCCTTTTTGTGTTGTATACTTGCTGACAGCCCTGGACCCCTCATTTTTGTCCCAATCCCAGAGTCTAAGGGGGTCCATAAAATCCACTAACTCCAGAACCCCCAAAAAGTAAATCTAGTCTATGGGAAGCCCTGAACCTCAGTCCCCTCCCTCCTTCCCCATGACGCAGGGGCACCAGAAAAGTGAGGTGTCTCAGTTGGGGCCACATCAGTGTAGGCTGTTTTTTTTGTTTCTCACTTGTGTGGTCCCCAACTGATTTTTCTGTGAGTCAGTGAATTCCAACCACAAAAAAGTTCCCACCCCCTCAAAGAAAACATTGAAACCTTGTGTGTTGGAAATAATATTTTTCTTTTATTTAAAATGAGGTTTGATAAACTAACATGAGAAAGTTAAAATGCTTAATCTGTTTCATACATTTTAATTAAACCATTCTCCCTAGCTACAATTGGTTCAGAAAATATGGTCACCCTACCCAGCCTGCTCTTGCCTCTCTTCGCCCTCTTTCTCCCCCTCCCCCCGACACACAGATCCGTGAACAAGTTAAATCTTGGTACACTGCTTCTGAAAGGTTGCTGACCCCTGCACTGAAAGGTACGATCTGCATCTTTCTTTATTAATGAAGCTGCTGTAAGTAGGATCATCATTGACTTTAAAAAGTATCATCAGCACCCAGACCTGTACATAGAGGTGAATAAGTCAAATCTCGGCACTCTACCTCTGAAAGGTTGCTGACCCCAGCTCTAGAACCAGTAAGTGGTTTCAGCAGCTCATCACCACCAATGAAGAGTGGGGGTTAACACTTGGGGATGAGGGGAGTGAGATTGCCTGTTCAGGTTCTCCAAGATATACCATGTGGTGCCAATACTCTATCTCCCCCCCCGCCCCCTTTGGGGTAAAGACTTCAGTAACTCAGCCACAGGTTAGGGGATCTATTACAAGTGGGTGTGGTTTTGTGACCTGCAATATGGAGTAGATCATACTAGATCATCACTAGGGTCTTGTATGACCTTAGAGTCTATGATAACAGCCTTTTCCTGCTGCCTGCTAATGTGGTTATTTCTGTAGGTGAAGCATGCAGCCTTGCTGAAAGTTCAGGATTCAAACTCAAACACATGATTGTGATGGATATTACAGTTTCAACCAGAATTTGTGTTTACCTTTAGAAAAGGTTAAAATTATACTAAAATACAATAAACAATCACTCCTACACATACCTCTTCATATTTCATCCATTGATCTTTGGGAAGAATTTGATGTTTCATACTCAAATCAAGGGCTCTCTTTATGCGAAATAGTCTTTCATTATACATTTTTTCTGGAAGCCTCTTCAGTGCTGCTTTTACATCATCATCTTCATACAATGTATCATCTCGCATTAATCCTGTAACATTTTTCAATATTATTGAATTGCCAGTCGTAATATTAGTAGCTGTCAAAAATCTTAATTTTACTTGATATTTAAATGATTTGAGTTTAGAATGCAGTAGATGAATATTAATACTTAGAGTGTAAGTTTGATTAGTAGTAGTAATAGGGAAGACACTCTTGTACGAAGCAGGTTATTAAACACTGATCCCTAGACACAAATTGCAATTTTGCTTTTTCTTAAGAATGAAAAGGAAGAAGAAAATAACTGGCTCAATGAGGAAAGTCACTAGAGTCTATTAATATGTAGTATTTCTCAAAATGAGCCATGAGCCCACTCTGATAAAGCTGCTAACAAGCCATTCCGGTTTGTTAACTTAATGGCTCCGCAGCCATGGAGCTTCACAGCTTTCATGGGCCACAATTCACCGTGTTCAGACAAGGAGAGCCACGGGAAGTGGTGAACAAACTGGAGCAGCCTGTTAGATTTCTCAAAATGGGCCATGAGCCCACTCTGAGAAACACTGCTCAACAGTAACATTTCAGCTTCCTATTTTGTAACTGAACTTATCTTTTAAAGACCCTTTTGTTCCTGTGCTATGCTGTATTAAAGATTCTCCTGTATTTCATTTATTACGTAGTAAGCCAGGTCACTGAAGAGCGAAAGATGTTACATAATCAGACCATAACAAAAAAAAGGCAGCATATCAAGTTGATTCAATTACTCCCTTCTGAGTACAAACTAGGAGTTTGCAAGGTCTCATACCGTACAGGGACATAGTTTCCAATATTTCTAGGTTGATGCATTATGAAAGGTAGAGCACAGGATATCTCAGCAAGCAGCATGGCAAGCCAATCAGTTTTAATAAGGGGGAAATGGACCAAAAGAATCAAGCATAAATAGCAAAAACACCAATCCTTAGCATTGTCTCAATATTGCAAAAGCAAGAGATCTGATGAAAAATAAATTAGGCTAAACAAAGTTGTTCACTTTCAAGGCAGAAAGGATTACCCCGTGACAATATATTTATATTCTATATATAATCACTATTTTAATTCTATTTGAGACAGTACCCAAGGAAACATTTGCCTACTGCATCCAAGTAGACTGGGATATTTCTTAGCTTCAGTAATGTAACAGCAGTGTAAAAATCAGTAGTTTATTAAGGACCCACTAAACAGGGTCTACATAGCTTAATGGATTGTTGAGATATGTGGTTTCTTCTATTAAGGAGGTAAAAATTTATTCCAAAAGGTAATCATGTAACTGCTACAGGGCCACCAACCCTTGCCTTCTTGCTTCCGGGGAGGAGGCTTTACTGCTGCAGGATTCACTAACAGAAAGAACCTTGCAAATGCAGGGGCTTGACTTTCAGAGCCCTGAGGGGTAAGAGGTGGGGGAAGGTTATTCTGATCTGGAGGCTATTATGGCTTCTTCCATCTGGACTCGTTTCCTCCATTTAAATAACAGAGCTAAACAGGCATCATTAGATGCCTCTTTTTATGTTAATTGTGTTAGACTTGTGTTTTCTACCCTGCTAGCTAAGAGTTGAAATCACTGGGAGCTGAAATTGCTTGAGACTGATGGGCAGAAGTCACAGCCAAAAAATATATGGCAGCTATGGTGACAGAGCCAAGAGGTCAGCAGCAGAAAAGTCAGATGAATGACCAGCAAGGCAATGGCAGAGAGCAGTGAGCGGGTGAATGGTGAGTGACCAGCAGAGATGCTCCTTTATCTTCCTTTATCAGGATGCACCTCTGAACTCTGGGTCTGCACTGACCAAAGGCAACAACTGAGAGTGAGGTGCAGAGAAGGGTTGGGAATGTGAAAGGGACATTTACATTGCTGGACATAAGAACCTGAGAGAAAAAGGAAATTGCCCAACCTAACTGAGGTGGGACTTTTACTTGTGACTTTTGTTTATGAACTCTATTTGTGGTGTTTTCCTAAATTATTTCCCTCTTTTTTAATAAAAGTTTTTCTACATGCAGACTCTGTGCTTGCAAGTGGGGAGGCACCCAAATGTGGTGTGAATTTCCCAGTTTATTGGGTGGGGACTCGAACCAGTTTTGTGTTGGATGGATGAACAGGAACACCTAGATATTGAACCTGGACTTAGCTGCTGCTGGGTCTACCTGGTAGAAGGATTACACCTGAATACAAATACATTGATTTGGAAATTAATTTTTAACATGTGGAAAGGTTCTTTACAGAGGAAAAGGATGCACACAAATGTTCACTGTTTTGGTCTTTAAAAAAAAATGAAGACACCTACCAAGTTGGTTGAAGCCAGCTGCATTGTAGTACCATTTGCGAAAGCCCTCTAACAGTCGACTGCTTGCTGAAACTGAAAGTGATCTCTATTAATTCTGGAATAATACAAAAAAACTCAACATTGGTAGATAACTAGCAGCAGGTTAACAGCAAAGTAGCTATTCAAATATTTGCATATTAATATTTATACTTTAAATTATGCCCTTACTCTAGAGTACACCATATCTAATTTTGTTTCCATCTTCCATGATGGAATGATACTGAGCACATAAGATTATAGTACTTCCACATTTGGACATCTGCCTTTATTAAATAAAGGGCCTGAAAATTATATTGACCCAAGTCCTGGACCAATATTAAAAACCTCCACAGGCTAATGCTGGGAACTAATGACAATATTAAGATTCATCACCTGACAACACACCAGGAATAAAACTATACACTAGACCGCTAAAAAGCAAAGACACACTGTTTTCCCGATATTACTTGTTTATATTTGTGCATCTCCTCTAAGCTTTGTGCTAGGAGATAAGTGTGTATGCGGGAAGTGTCTGCTTCCACGAGCAGTACTAGTTAAATATCTGAAAACTTAAGCAACTGCTTTCAACTTACAGTATAAAGACATGAGACATTTTAAAGCACTGATATTGTCAAGAAATTTAGCTGATTTTTACACAAGCCAATCTACAATCACAAATTAAGATTTCTGATAAGATAAACTAGACTGGTTTAAGTAGTGGTTAACAGAACAAAATTAATTATTTCAGGTGTTGAATAAAACTGGGCAATCATTGCTCTCCTCCAGCTCAAAGGAGGGTCAAACTGCAAAATGGAAATGGTTAGCCTCCAATTTCACTGGGAAAGAGAACAATGTTGAAAGTAAATATTAATACATTTTACTCAGAGTTTGGGAGACAGTTCCTCTCCTACAAAGTTAACATTGCACAATATATAAAGAAAATGATCAAGTGAGCCACAGGTGAATCAGTACAAGTATTTTTCTACAACTGTCTTCCTATACAATTTGTGATAGCTTGTTATACCACCCTCACATTGAGCACCTTCCAATAGTGCATTAAGCATTTACTTTCATCATGTTTGTTCTCATTCTCTTATGAGAGGCACATGTAGTTGAGCATTTTATTTTGGTAGGCTTGGATTTTTATTTTTTGTTCCTGAACCAGTAATGAGAACCTAACAGGAATCACAATAAGTGATATTATAGAATAGTTTTACATACTAGACCTGTACCTGACTCACATATATGACTCCATCTTTTTGGCACTGCTCAGTGGAAAGATTTTAGTGCTTAAAGGGATACTAGCAATTTGAAACTTAATCAGTTTCACAAAAAACAGTTTTAGGTACTACATCCATTCCTGACATTCTCTGCAAATTTTTGTGATTTTACAGTCAGACTTGTACATCATTTTTGAGTTTCTCTTCCCTATGCTCCTCTGTTGAAAGTCCCACTTGAAAACCAAATATACAAAGTAAACAAATGGAAAATGTGTGTCTAATTCTAGAGAGAGAGAAAAATCATGGCTCTTATGACCCTAGAAGAATTTTAAATATAACATGCCAATAGAGAAGCTTCCAAGGAAGTTAAGTTTGTGTGGTACAGGCAAATATGAGAGAGAATGCTGATGAGTGCCTTAAAAATACATGAAAAACTTGTGTTGCAGAATATGCATGAGCCTTTTTGAAGAAACCATGAGTAATAGAAAAGCAGAAAGTGTACTGTGGTAGTTAACAAGATGAGTTCCCTAGCAGAGGAAGGCAGATACACTCTCCCAAGTAGTCTACAAGGAAGAGCCCACAATGTGAGGAAAACAATATGTCACCAACTCCACTGATAAGCGGTTTCTCTGCCTGCACCTGGCAGACAGGGATCTAGAGGCTTCTATCTGGGTCCTGGTCTTGACATGCTGGGAATATGGCCTGTATATACCCACCAATAAGTCAGGCAGGGGACACCTCCCAACATGAGATGTGCCTGTTGGTGTACTCTCTTAAAGTGGTAAGACATACCGAGAAGGAGATGGCTCATCTGAAACCACAATGCTCATGAAGACATTAAGATGATGAGCATAGCTGACTGGAGAAAATTACAGCCATGCCAGAGGAGGAATGAGAACTAGCTACTGGCCAGCTCATGCAGTAAACAGTGCACCACTCCCCACCTGGGTCCTCTATACATCAAGGTCAAGAACCAGTAAGCAGTGCTTGCAGCATGAAGAGAGGAACAGACCCCACTGGGCTGAGGGAAAGGAGCCACCTGTTCCCAAAGCTGAAAGGCTTACAGCCACCACACTCAAAAGGAGGCTACAAAAGGCGGTGGTTGGGGGATTCATTTTGGAAGGGGATGGAGGCCTCTATCTACTAACCTGACTCAGTATCCCAGAAGGAACACTGCTTGTCTGCAGTCCATGTCTCATGTTATGGAAAGATTGCTAAGGTTCATCTGTACTTCTGACTGCTATCCCATGCTCCTTATTCACATGACACTAATGCTACCACAGGTATCACTGAAAGCATCAGGACTAACTCAGGGAGCAAAGATGAAGAAGTCTAAGTTGCAGGTGGGTATTCTTGTCCACCTTTCAGATTAAGGGTAAAGGGCACAGTTAGGGACACGTATACGCTGCAGATGAATGCATGGCTGTGTAGACAGCAATGACTGGAGAGTTTTGGCTTCCTAGACCATGGGATGTTATTCAGGAAAGGAGGACTGCTAGAAAGAGAGAGGGTTCACCTGACCAAAAAGGAAAAGGGCATTTCTGTGCACTGATTCACCAACATAGTGAAGTTAAGTTTAAACTAAGTCCAAAGGCGAACCATGATAGAAGCCTATAGGTAGGCACAAAAATGAATTGTACAAGATATGGAAACAGACAAAAATGAGTACAAAAGAATAGCACAGCAAAATGAGAAGAGCTAAGCCACAAAACGAGTTACATCTAGTAAGGGACTTATTTTTGCAAGAAGAGGAGGCTGCTAATGATTTACATAAGAGAAAGACAGGGCAGTGTGAAACCATTACTTAGCAGGGAAGAGGAACAATTAACATCCACAAGGGTGAGGTAAATGCCTATTTTGCTTCACCCCTCACTAGAAAATCCCTGACTACACACTTAAGACAATTAGTATTAACAAGGAGGAACACAGTTCAGATTAAAGAACACAGAAAGGTTAACACATTTAAATAAGTTAGAAAAAGTCAAGTCAGCACCATTTGACAAATTTAGCCCTAAGGTGTTTCGGGAGGAACTAGCTAATACAATCTAAGAAGATTCAAGAACCATTGGAGAATAAGTGAGGTTCCAGAGGACTGGTGAAGGGCAAATACAGTACCTACCCAAGGAATTTTAGACCAGTTACCTTAACTTTGTCTTTTCAGTTATCAAATATATTACAATCCATTTGTAAGCACCCTAATCACGATCAAATCGTATCAAACCAATTTTCTCTTACGACAGGATTACTGGCATAGATGAAGGGGCAGCTATGGTTGAGATCAGGTTGATTTTAATGAGGCTTTTTTAAACATGATATTTCCTAAGCAAACTAAGGAAATGGGAGGAGATGATATTACTCCACGGCGGGCGCACAATTCCTTCAAAGACTGTTCAATCATGGCTCGTTGTGCTCGTACTCCAGACGTTCATTAGTGACTCGGGTCCCGGGGCGGAGTGTACGCCCCGTGGCTGACACCAAGCTGGGAGGGGTCGGGAGCTCCCTGGCCCCTGCCCCCTGCCCCCAGCGACGCCTGCTCAGGGATCACCAGGCAGGGCTGCCCGGGGCCGCGGATGGGGCCCGGCACAGCGAGAAAGTAGCCGCCGCCGCCCCCCGCCAAAACGCCCAACAGCGCAAGGAGCCCGGCGCTGCCGCGTCCCCAGGCTCGCCCACGGCCTAAGGCCAGACGCACCCGAAGCCGGCCGGACACGCAGCTCGCGGGGACCAACGACTCCTCACCTGGTGCCCTCGCCGCCATCTTGGTCTTGACCTCGGAGAGGCGCGCAGGCTTCTGGGTAAACAGATTTCCCAACGGTACGTGAGGCGCAGGCGCGCTCACGTGACCTTCAAGGGCTCTGTCGCCGTGTGCACAATGCGCATGCGCAACGGGGCACGTAAGGCTGACCTTGTCCACTGTAGCGCTGTGGGCTGGGTAGAACGTCGAGGTCTCGGCTGGGCCTTTACCCCCAGGGGATGCTACTGCGCTCGTGGCCCAGTGCAAAGCTGTTTTGTTGCCGGCCATGTCACTCACATTGTCATCCGCATCCGAGTCTTCCTCTGCTATTCAATGCATAAATAGCTTAACGGCAAGGGGTGATGTCCTGAGCATTTGAACACAACGCAGGAGAGCAGCTTAGGATTCTTGATTTATCTCAGCAGATGCTGGAGTTTTCAAAGATTTAAAAAAACTTAAAAAGCAACAAGGGGTTTATCTGAAAAAGTGGATTGTGCCCATGAAAATTCATATTATATATAGTTTGTCTCTAAGGTGCTACTACACTACAGGACCATTCGTTTAATTTTTTTTTTAAGTTACAGACTAACATGGCTATGAGATTTCCAAACACTGTCATTCAAGTGATGTAGAAAGTAAGCGTTTGGAAGCAAAGACATGACCGAAGGGACGTTTTGCACATTCCCACAATGCTTAGCACTACATTACACCTTGTCACAATGCTTAGCAACTGAAGGCAATCCTAGGCACTGTAGCATGTATACCTACACTGCTTTACTGTTTCGGAGGGGGAGAGAAACCACTAACAATGTGATCATGATATGTTAACAGATGTTGGCAGCGCAAATATGATTCGTTGACTTTCTTTTTGGAAACTTATGAATACTAACATTTTCATAACCAAATCTTTCCAGGGTAGACAGTAAAAGCAGTGACACTCAGCCTATTAGGGAACATAGGTTAAAATGTGAGCCTTTTAAAAATATAAATATCAGTGGAAATATTTTCATTGTATTTTAATAAATTGGAATTAAAATGTCTAGTTTTTAAACTTTTCTTAAAATAATTTAAGACAAACTCTACACCACTGTGCAAGCATGAAGAATCATACTTTCTGATCTTTAGTGAGTACAGGCAGTCCCCGGGTTACTACAAGATAGGGATTATAGGTTTGTTCTTAAGTTGAATTTGTATGTAAGTTGGAACTGGCTCCAGATTCAGCCGCTGCTGAAACTGATCAGCGGCTGACTACAGGAAGCCCTAGGCAGAGTTGCTCTGCCCCCGGCTTCCTGGAATCAGCCGCTGATCAGTCAAAAGCGGCGGGGCACTGCCGGGTAGGTCCCCGCAGGACCAACCCGGCAGCACCCCAGCTGCTCTACCCCAGGCGTCCCGCAGCAAAAGCCTGGTCTGCGGGGGGCGCACTAACGGCCCCCCCTCCCCCCCCAGCAGACTAGGGAGACCAGAGCAAAGCCGCGGAGGCGCAGAGGTCCCGCCGCCTCTGCGGCTTTGCTCCGCGGTAAAGGAGCAAAGCCGAACGGGCAGCGGGGTCCGCCGCCTGTGCAGCTTTGCTTGGGTCTCCCTGCTGTGCTGGGGAGTCCCCCCCCCCCAAGCACACCAGGGAGACCCGGAGCAGCTTTTCTCGCCCCGGAGGACGCAGTGGTGGGACTGCTGCGCTCTGGGCGGTCCCGCTGCCCGCGAGCTCCGGGGCGAGAAAAGCCCCGTTCGTAAGTGCGGATCCGACATAAGTCGGATCCGCGTAAGTCGGGGACTGCCTGTATCTAATAGTTTCATTTAATTTATGTATTCAATTTGGCAGGTAGCAATGAAAGTGTTTTATAATTCCGTATTAATGCAGTTACAATCACTTCCATCTGATTATTTTATATTACATTTTCCAACAACTGAAAGTTGTGGAGAAATACTTGTTTTTCACGTAACGGTATGCACACAACACCATTGCACATCTTTCACGCAGCAAAATGGAAAAGACAAAAAAGAAAAGGAAAATGGATGTAAAAGTACACTTATTGGCAAGTGAAGTATCAAGGTATTGCTACCTATTTTGTAAGTAGATTTAATTTGCTATCCTTTAAGAAGTCCCTTTGGTGTGAGAACCACCATATATAGATGATGCAATGGAATGGAATCAACCACTAGTGAAGAATTAATAATTTTGCTGCTTCATCATTATTCAGCTCATTCAGAAGGTTAAAATATGTCCATCCAAGCAAACTAAAAAGAGGATCAGTTTTTCATCTTACAATCTTGTGTTCTTATTTGGCTGCATTTACAATCATGAATTAGGATTTCATTTCAAGAATATCAGTTATTATACAAGTATTTGCTTAACCCTGTACTACTAAGAAATCCATTTTTAAATCAAATTAAAATACATATTAGTCTTTATACTTACACAATGCAGTAATTTCATAAGCAATAACTTTTTAAACCAGAAAATAAGCAGTTAAGAGACAGAAGAGAGACCATTTTTTGTAAAATACATTTATTTCATAACATTCTCTTTTTAACATGTGTTACTAATTAAAGTGTTTTTAAGAATTTTTCAAAGTCCTTTACCGAGGCCTTGGCAACCTCTGTACAAAACACCTCATCGGGCATGAATACTAGTTTGTCCAGAGAGATGTAGCTGTGCTGTGCTGGGTCATACTGTGCTCTTCCCAAAAAAGCAAGAAACATATGTCTTTCTTTGACTCTTAGTAGCTTTGAATTGAAAACCTAGGAAACAAACAAACAAAACAGTTGAGTATTATAAGCTTCAGGCACTATAAATACATCTAAAACTAAAAAGTTTTGCAACAAGAAAATAAAGTTCTAAATAAAAATGAACGTTTTGCACCTTCCCCATCCATTTTTTTAAACCATTCCTTATTAAGCATATGAGCAAGATCCTATACTACACCAGATTTTTTCTTTAAATTAACACTGTTGGAAGCAAACAAAGAATAACTGATAACTCTCTAAAAAGTAACTTCACAGTGGATTCCACTTATTAGGAACTGCTTGATTTCCAGCAAAAAGTTATCATCTGGAAGTTGCCAATAAACAGACGGCAGAATTGCAGAGCTGCAGCTAGGGAAAAAGCATTGGGACATGCCTTCCTTGTCTACAGCATTGCAAGCCTGTCTGCAGCAGTAAATGAGGATCAGAAACAGACAAGGGAATAAGTAGTAAGGGTGTGATAAATCTATTTTATTGGTTATGTTAATAATGGTTTTTTTTCTCCCCTCATTTCTTGTAAACAAGATGGCAAAACAGAGGTTTTTAGAAGAAATTTAAATGATGTGAGGGAAGTGGCTTCGTGAAAGATTTGTGGAGGTTGTTTCAGCATAAGCAGCAGCATAATAGAAGGAAAGTAGGTGTGTCTTGGGGTGCGTCTACATTGCAGGGCTTAACTAGAAACAACCTATGGAAATTGAGCTACGACAATTGCAGCTTATTTCAAAATAGCTTATTTCGATATTGGGGGCATCTATATAGCAACTATTTCGAAACAGAGCAATTTTCCCCCGACTTCCCTTACTCCTCATACAATGAGGGTTACAAGAGTTGGAGTAAGAAGTCCTCCACCTTGACAGTATTCCAGCATTATTTCAAAATAACTGCCTGTTGTGTAGACGCGGACTACGTTATTTCGAAATAATGTTGCTGTGTAGACGTACCCTGAGATGAGAACAAGAGGCAATAAGGCAAATGATACTGGCAGAGTGGACAGGGCAGAGAAGACCTAAAGAGAAACCAGGTCAGAGATGCATCTTCTTTCATGTGATATTGCAATGCTTTTTTGTTATTAGGTAATTGAGGACATCAGCTTTCTGTTTGCATAGTAGCTTGGTCAGCTAATCACATTTTTCAGGAGAAAGGCCCTTTCTACACTGAATTGGAAAACAGACAGATACAAGCCAGTATTTCAATGTTTGCCCTGAAAAGGGACATTTCACTTGAGATGCTTTTTGGACTACAAGACTGTCAGTGGTGTTTGGTTACCATGTTGATAGCTCTAAAGCACTTAACAGGTAGAACTGCAGAAGGTTGCCATCTTCCTCCCTAGAGGAATGCATGATGAAAGGCATTAAAAGCAAAAACATGACACTTGAACATTATGTCCAGCACAAGGAGGAGGCTGTGCAGCATTTTAACAGGGGGATTACGTGGTGGAAGCTATGAGATAGAGAACGGATTTTGGTTGCACTAAAAGCAGCTGCTAAATAGATCTGAGAGAAGACGACTAGTAATCGAGTGAGTAGTAAATTAGGGAGTGAATAAATCTGGATATCAGGACAGAAGAAGCAGATTTTGGCACACGGTTTACCTTGTGCGGGGGGAAAAGGGGGAGGGAGAGAAAGGGATGCATCAAAGGTGAGCGCCTGGTTATCATCTTAGTTGGCGGGGAGGATGGTAGCATCAATTGTGGAAAGTAGATAGCGGAGAGGGCTTGCGAGAAAGTTTGTATGTTCAGTTTTGCATGATACTTTAAATGGTGATGATCCATTATCTCACGAGATATTAGAGAGACAAAGAGGAGACTCAGCTACTGGAAACTGTATTTGTGACTCATCAGCAAAAAGGCAATAGTTAATAATGAAGTACATGGACAGAGCACAGGCAGAAAAATTAATGGATCAAAAAAACTGAGCTTTCAAGGATCCATAACAGACAAAAAGCCTTCAAAATGTAAGCAAAAAGTGCAGGGCTAAAGATGTAGTTAGGGGAAGAACCAAGAGGGATGGAGTCGTGAATCCAATGGATTTTGTGAATTTACCAATGGTAGCAAACAGGTCAAGGAAGATGAATAGGGAGAGAAGTCCAATGGCTGTAGTGTCTAAGGCCATGGTCGCCAACCGGTCAATCACGAGGCCTTCAACCAGTCGATCGTGAGGCGTTTGAGCCCCCCCATTTCCCCATCCCCCACCTACCTCCAGTGAAAATGGAAGTAATGCTGGCTTCCCGCGGGGTGGACGGAAGTCCTGCAGCTTTGCGCCACTTCTGGGTGTTCCGGAAGTGCGCTGGCTGCTCCCCTCCCTAAGTTCTTTGGCGTGCCAGGAACTTGCCTGGAGGGAGTCCCCAGAGGAGGCGCGTGTGGGGGCTTCCCTGATCTGCGGGAGGAGTGAGTTGGTCCCAGAGGAGGCGCACACAGGGGCTTCCCTGCTCCTCAAGAGGGGGAAGGGGAGGGGGAGGGCGAAGTCCAGGGCACCCTATCCCTTCCCCTGGCACCCTGTTCCCTTTCTCCTGTTCCCCACTGGCACCCTGCCCCCTGCTGCAGAACCCTGTCCCCTCTCCCCGGCACCCTCTCCTCTCCTGCAGTTCCCTGCTGCAGAACCCTGCCCCCACCCCAGCACTCTGTCCCCTGCCCCAGCACCCACTAGCACCCTCCCCCATGTCTCCTGCTCCCACCAGCATAGCTGGGGCCACATTAGTGAGGCGTGGGGTTTTTTTGGGGGGAGTTTTTTTTTTTTTTTTGCATCTCCCTTGTGTGGCCCCAACTGACTTGTCTGTGCATTAGTGACCTCCGACTCAAAACAGGTTCCCTGCCCTTCTCATAAATAAAGACAATGCAGAAACTTTTTGTGTTTAACACACTATTTTATTAAAAAATGAAGCCTGGCCAAAAAAAAGCCCAGTTGGGGCCAAGACCCCATCTGGCCACGGCATTATAACACTCCTGCACCCCTCAAACCCTAGATCTGAGCCGATCATACACTGAAACCCCCTACCCATAGCCCCTCATGTGCCCCAACCCAAATTCCTGCACCCTCACAGCCACAAGTCTGTCTCTTGCTTAGTACCGCAACCCTCCATCTGACCCCAACACTTCCCAGCCCGGAGCCCCCTCCCCAAACCCACATCCCCTTCTCCACCTCCTCTCCTGCATCCAGATTTCCTCCCAGAGCTTGCACCTCTCACCGCTTCCCACACCCAAATCCCTCATTTCCACCCCAGAGCTCACACATCCTGTCTCAACCCAGTGAGGGTAAGGCTAGACTGCAGGAGTTTTTCCAGGATTCCAGAGATATCCTGGAAAAACTCTTCCGCATCCAGGGATGCATTTGTTGTTCTGCTTTTTTTTTTTAGTGGAAGAGCAAACATGCTTTTTTGGTAACCCATATATTCCTAGTTCCACGAGGAATAAGGGGGATTCCAAAAGAAGGGGCTTTTCTAACATTTGGTCCAGTCTAGACAGGCCAAATGTTGGAAAAACCTCTTCCTACATAGGAATTGGGAAAAAAAGTGGCAGTGTAGAGTGTATAAGGGCTGGGGATAGCAAGTGATGGAGAGAAGGAGAATAGAGAGGGCAGGGCTTCAAGAAAGGGGTGGGGGGTCTTGGGGGAAGGGTGGGGCAGTAGATCTTCCCTTGTTCTGAGATTTAAAAAGTGATCTTGGGTGTAAAAAGATTGGAGACCACTGGTCTAAGGTGTTAGAGAACGTTGAGAGAAAGAGAAGGGTGGAGATACAAGCTGTCATGAGAGCGCACACATGAGATTTTTCCCTCCAAAGAAAAGTGACAAAGGTCATCAAGATTCAGGGTGGAGAGACAGAACCCCAACACTGTCAGCTGATCTTTTCATTTGGTCTTGATTTAAGTTTAGTTATCCCATAACTTTGAATTAACATTTAGAATGTTAGACTCAATGCCATGGCTACAATCATTTCATTCCTTCATAAAACTGCCCCTTGCAGTTTTAAATGGTACATATTTTTCTTGTGAAAAGTTGTCATGTTCAACTCAGAGGTGACTGCATATTTAGGTAAAGTAAACCCTAAATATGCTGTTTACTACTGTTAGGATGAAAGGCAGTAAGGTCTAAAATAATTTAAACAAGGTACTGTAGTAGAAAGAAAGTTAATTACCAGGAACAGAACCATTTGTGCAATATCTCAATGAAAATTTTAAGATGTGTAAAGACATTTTGTTACTTACTTAATTTTGTTAAGTTCTAAAGCAGGGCTACTCAATACGTGACCCGTGGGCTGCATGCGGCCCAGATTTACATGGTGCTCAACACAACACGTGGCCCACAGATGGGAGCCAAAACAAAAACATAGTCAATATAATTGTCTTATGTTGATATGTGTTTTAGTAGTTAAATTCCTGGGCTGTCATTGCTCATTAAAAGTGCTGCAATATGGGTGGAAATCAGGTAAATATTGCTTTTTATTAATATCAGCAGAACTGACTTAAATGGGGCCTGCGTGTTGTGTAGTCTTGCCTTAATCTTTGTTTCATGCCCGTCAGTGTGAAAGAAGCTATTTGCATATATATTTGCATGTATATGCAGCCACACTTAAGTTGTGGCCCTCGGCATGTGCTGTAAGTATCATTGTGGCCCCCAGGGCTTCCAAAGTTGAATAGCCCTGTTCTAAAAGCAATACAAAAAATTACATTCAAGCTTATGTAATAATATTAAACTTCTGCCAACTAAGATACTTAACTTATAAAATGGGCAAATCTGAAAGGAGTCATTGGAAGAACTGCATTTTTAGATACTGGATAAGACCTGGATTTTTTAAATTGGATTTTCCAATAATTTAAAATGAACTCTCTCCAGTATCCTATTTTCCTCCTCAACTGATATGAAAACCTTAGGTCCAGTGATACTCAGGCCTTAGTGGTTTACAAGTAAAATTAGCCATCAAAATTATCCAAAAGAGCCACAGTAATGTACATTCATTGTTTCATTTGCTATTTTATACGTAAGTATTATTCTCAAAGCAAAATGACCAAGTATTCTATAATTGGTTAACAACACAGTAAACGCATCCTGATTGGTTAATGATTAAGTCACACTGTTTTAGTATCGTGATGAAAAGAGCCACAGAAGACACATTAAAGAATCACGTGAAGCTTCCTTGCCTCAGTCTAAGTATCGGAGATACAGATGATGAAGGCTCCAACAACAAACAGTGTTGCTGGAGGCACTTTAGATTGCACATCAGCCAGTAGAGGTCACCACTAACAACCACAGCAAACAAAGTTATTATATTGACTGAAGCAAGGAAGAAAATTGTGCTAATGAGCTCCCAAATTGAAATCTTTGGCACAGCTCCCTGTTGCTCCACTGGGCTAGTCCATGGGTAAATTTTTACTGATAAAAATGGTTCTAATTTCAACAAAGCCAAAATTGTTTTTTGCTGCCAGAGATCATTTGAAGAATCCACGTGGATTCTAGAGGCTGTATAATTTTGCTCTTAGTACAGGCCCAATGAAGAAAATCAAACTGCTTGTTTTGATAACAATTACACTTTAACCCACAATTCTTAAATCTCTTACTTGAGGAAAGTGAGTAAGGATGTGGTGGGGAATGCCCATTACATTGTGCAGGTAGTCAAAAGTTTCTGTAAGCTTTCTTTTGTTTGCAGTTAAAATCTTGGGGATTTTACATATGATCTGCTGAATTTCATTTCGTCGAAAACCAAGTTCAACCTGACACACCTGAAAAAAGAAATAATAAATCAGCTATAAAAATTATTTTTTCTTAACATACTGAAACTTGTTATTTTTGTAAAATAAGTTATCTATACTACTTAGATATTTTAGTCACTGGTCATCTAGCTGTGGGTACTAAAGCACATTGAACTTTCTCACCCATTATCAAGACAGTTTCCCCAATTATCACCTGTAATACCATTAACTCACAAACATCCCACTCTCCCTACCTCTAATATCATCAATTCACAGACACTTACCTTCCTTCCTCCCCCTTCCCACCCCCCCGCCTCCTCCTTCTGTTCTGCAATGTGATTTGTCCTTTTCATATTTGTTCTTTTTTTTAATTGTATCCTTTGGTATATATGGTTGTGACTACTTTCTTCCACTATTTGATCTGAGGAAGTGGGTCTGGCCCACGAAAGCTCATCATCTAATAAACCATCTTGTTAGTCTTTAAAGTGCTACATTGTCCTGCATTTTGCTTCAACTACCCCAGACTAACACGGCTACATTTCTATCACTATGAGGATTACGGATTGTGATCCCTCTTTCTGGGACATCTGGTATTTGCCACTGTCGGCAGACAGGAAACTGGGCTAAGTGGACCTTTGGTCTGACCCAGTATGGCCATTCTTATGTTCTTCAAGTTCAGACTGTAAACAGCTTAGGGGTAGAGACTGAGTTGCTTTATGTTATAGATCACCATGAACACTGTTGGTGTTCAACAAGGGTATAAAAAGGCACATGATCTGGTAGGTTGTTGAACAACAAAACTTGCACTTTCTTACTGAAGTGTAACCAAACTGAGGATCTCAAAGCACTTTATAACCATAGTAAATGTAATCTTAACTCATGTCAAGTAGAAGAATTATTATTCCCATTTTACAGATGAGAAAACTAAGCACAAAGATCAAAAGATTTACCCAAAGTCACATAATAAGTCTGTTGGAGAGCCAAGTAAACATTCCAAGTGATTTAACTGTATTCATATTTACATTCTCAGATTTTTTAAATTGTATTAACTGTGTTTACCATCTGAAGCCTGTGATGCACAGGTTCATTAACAGGCAACTTTTTATGCCTCCACTTCCATCCTGATTAGTGGTTGATGACACAAAACAAAACAGAGGAAACACAAGAAACAATATTTTTTTCTTTTAACTTCAGAAGGTTATCAGTTGGGTGATAAGGAATGAATAAAAATTAGAGGGAAATGGTAAGACTTACTTCCAGATATACTATCCCTGTACAATATAACCACCTCCACTAGCCCAGAAGCAGAGTTCACAAGGCAAAGCATAATTCACAAGGTCAGGTCTACACTACAGACTTATATAATTGCATTGCTCAGTGTGGATTTTTTTTGTTCATCAACACTGTGAGCAATGTAGTTATATTAAAGAAGGCTAGATTAGTATTCTTCTATGGACATTATCTGTGCTCTGATTTAATCCCAATAAACTGTTTGAGTTTTACTTCCAGCTTTCATATAATAATTTCTACCTCCATGTCCTTATTTCCATTAGCCACCCTGCCATTACCTCCAATATCTTCATTAGCCTTATTAAAAACTGAGGCAATGTATTTGATGTGGCAGCGGGCCATGCCTAGATTATTTTTAACTGCCATCCCTCAGTGGATAGTGGAACCGCTTCTTTCCTAGTTTTTATTTATATGGCTATAGAACCTTTTAATATTGGCTGTAATTCCCTTTGCAAGGTCCAACGCTGTTTGGCTTTTTGCAGTTCTCATTCTATCCTTAACTTTCTGACCTCCAAGAGGTAGTTTTCCTTCCCATATTCTTTTCCCTGTAGGCTTTCTGCTTTCTTCTAATCATCTTACGTGTTTGTTCTTCCAGGTTGGCCTGCAACCCTTCCACATGAGTATTTCCCCCTTGCTTGAGATGTAAGTTTCAGACAATTACTGCAACTTTGACAAAATAATTCCAAGCCTCCTCCACATTAAAATCCTTAAGACCTTTGGCATAGTTCACATATCTAACTAAACTCTCTTAATTTTTTCAAGTCAGTCCTTCTGAAATCAAGGATCCTAATTATAGATAATTGTATTTATTCTCCCATTTAGATTACACTGAATTAACTCATGATCACTAGAACCAAGGCTTCCCCTTACCAGCTCTTCTATGAGGTTCTCATTACTCACCAGTAACAAATCTAAAATAGCATCACCTCTTGTTGGTTCAGTGACTGTTTGGTGAAGAAATCTGTCAGCTACCACATTCTGGAAAATCTGGATTCTGCTATTATTAGTAGCACTTGTCTTCCAGTCTATATTGGGGAAGTTGAACTCTCTCATAATCACACAATTCCCAGTCGTATTTATTTCATTAAAACATTAAAGAAGTCTCTATCATATCCAAATTGGATTCCAGGGCTCAGCAGCATACCCCAATCAGTAGCATTCTTCCCCAAAGTGATTTTGTCCTAATAGACTCTGTCTTATCTATTCCCTCACTTCTAATTTCTTTACATTCAATCTCATCAATAATATATACATATTCCACGACGTTTGCCTTTATTTCTCTTTCCTTAACAGAACATTTTTGACCACTAGTACTTCAGTCATGACTACTATTCCACTAATTTTATGTTATCACTATACCATCTGGTTTTACTTCCTGCACTAACAGTTCTAATTTCTCCATTTTGTTACTCAGGCTCCTGGCATTTCTATACAAACATCTTAATTGTTGCTTCTTAGCTTCACCAACATTCCTTACCCAATTGGGTACACAATCTATTACAAGTATTGCTACTTGACTGTTAGCATCATTGGTATCAATGCTATTTTTTTTCTTTAATGTTTATTCTTCTACCCACTACTGTTCCTTTCTCCATTGTTGTGTCTTTTCTTGATTTTTCTCCCTTGATGTTAAAATCAGCCAGATGACATAAGCATTCACCAACCATCTCCCCTCAGTTTCTACTTTAAAGCTCTTTTAATCAGTTGTGCCAACATCCATTCCGGACGTCTATTTTCTACCCTATTCAAGTGTAGTCCATCTCATGAGAATAGTCCCCTGTTCATGAATGCCTCCCCTTGTTAAAATATCCCAAAGCACTCCTTATAGCACCACTGCCAGAGATATCTGTTGATTGTAATGTGGTCTCATTTCCTCTAAGGAGAGAGAGATTCTCAATGAAGATTACCTGAACCTCTATTTCGTAAGTGTCTTCCCCAGTCTGGTAAAGTCTCTCTTGACACTTTTCAGCAAGAATCCAGATGTATCATTTGTTCCGACATGAAGGAAATCAGTGGATTTTTTCCTGCTCTCATTAGGGTCCTCTTCAGCCTTAGGTTCACTTCCTGTATCTTAGCTCCTGACAGCACACCCTTCTATTCTCTGGACCAGCCTCATGAAGGAGAAATAGAGCTCAGGAATAGGTTTGCCGAGTTGGAGAATAAAGAGGGGGCAGAACAGGCTGGTCTTTTCCTCCAATTGGTTCCATGCTTCAACATGCCTCTTTTCTCATTCAGAAGTCTCCCCTTAGAGTTCTTCAGTCCAGCTTCCTTCTGCCAATCATGACTTTTCCCTTTAGCCTCCTCCTGCCTTCCCTCCATCAGTTGTGATGGATTTTCCATCACTGACAAGGTTTAAATAAATATGGGATTTTTTTGAGAGAGAGAGAGATTCTGGCAATTATTTCGAGGAAGTTCTGTGGCCTGTGTTGCACAGGAGCTCAAACTAAAGGATCACTGAGTCCCTTCTAGCCTTAGAATCTATGAAACTCTTGATCAGTAGGTTGGTAGTGGATAAGTTTTTACTATTGGACAGTTGTTAGATAGCCTGATGGTTATTAGGGCATCCATAACTGAAAGTCGCCCTGCCTCTGCCATGAAGGTTTCTTGCCTGTGCCTACTATTTATTAGCTTTTATGTCTGTGTATTTCTAATTAGAACAGCTATACAATATAGTGACTTCTTAGATGCTTTTTAAACTTACCTGCCAATTTTCTTTTATAGGCTCAAGACTGCCAGTCAGTAGCCTTGGAAGACTAATTACTAAATCTCTGGTCTGTAATTTAGAAATGGGAAAGATGATAGGTATAGAAAGCAAAACTGTTAGAAATCCATCCATGCAAATCAGATACATATTTTGCATTCACAAATTTTGTTTGTGTTTTTATGTACATATGCGCCTGAATTTCAATGTTAGTCTAAGGAAATTAATTCACATTTGAAAATCCATTACATTTCTAGCACCAGCATTAGAGAGTCTGAAGAAAAATGAAAAAAAATGAGAAAGAGGTACAATAAATAGTTGGAGTCACATTTCACCTTTTGGAAAAGGATGGGATTGAAAGGTAAGATAAAACAGCAGGAAAATGAGATTAAAACAGGCCTACAGACAAAGGCATTTTGAATTCCACATCCTTTGACTGTTCTTAACAGTTGTTCTTTTGTTAAGATAGCCAATCAGTTTTGAGACATTAAGGTGCAGGTACGTGTATGGACTTTATCAACTAGTACACTTTATTCCTCTACCTCAGTGGAGGCTTTTAGCAGCATATCCTGTATTGACTTGAAGACCATAAAAAGTAGGGATGGGAAACCTTCTTTGGGTCAGGGGCTGCTGACCCATAGAAAAATCAGTTGGGGGCCGCAGACAAATGAGAAGAACATAAAACAACAAAAGAAAACCCCCCTCTCTGATGTGGCCCCTGACTGAGAAGCAGAAAGACACTCCCTACATGCCCCTCACACGCAAAAGCCTAGTAGGGCCCAGGCTAGTAGATTCTGTGCGTGCCAGCCCCATAAGGAAGGTAGTGGGGTGGCGGGGATAGCAGAGGGCTGGAGAACCAGAATGAGCTCCCCAATGCTGGGGGGCAAGCCCTGAGCATTGGGGGCCACATCCAGCCCCCGGTCTTTAGGTTCTCCGCCCCTGCATAAAGCAAAGGGCCAAACATCTCATTTGGTCTCCTGTGCAACCATGCAGAATATATCCAATACAATTCTAGGCAAAGCACAGCACTAGAAGTTAATATTGGTATGGTATGCATATACTATGTGATGTACTTATTAAGGCTTTCAATATATTGCAGCATTTAAAAATGATGAAGTCAGTTGTCTTATTTATTGCTCTAGCACTAGGATTAAGCCTCTGATACGGCATCAGATAATAAAACTGTATACACATTTTAGTGGCAGTATTTTGGGATCCTTAGAGTGCTAAAGATTCATGGTACCTGCCTGGGGGTTAATGTCATAATTTCAACAACAGCATGAGTGTGACAATCAATAACCTTGAACCTACACTATAGGAGTAACTTGAGGTTATCTATGGGCATCTTTATTTCAGGTCTTGCCTATTTTCACTGACAAAATATCTAAGTTTGTAGGGGTATATTATTTACCTTTTGCACACTTAGTCCAAGTTCTTTTTGGAAGAAACCCAACCTATTATCCAGTCTTTCCACTGAGAAAGACAGTAAAAATGGAGCTCTGGAGATCATCCGTGCAATTGCTTCTTTACCAAATTTTTTTGATTTTAGGTAAGCCACTCTAGGAAAGAACAAAAAATAAACCCAGTGATAAACATTTTATCATCTCCATTTATTCCTCTAGTTACTCAAATTCCTCAGTGATATCTTGCAAACAGACAGATGTTTTAATATTAACATACAACTATGCCAAAAATAATTAGGGGGGGAAATCTGCAGTTATCATAAAAGCAAAATACCATCCCTTCCAATTATCTATAAGCAAAATAACATGAGACCAAAATGTCAATACTGAAGACAGATTTTAATTCTTTCCAGCTGTACTTAAAATACAGGTTAACATAGTTATCTGCTTAAGTATCAGCCTGTCTCACAGATTAAGAATGCACTAATGAACATCATGGCATGTGGATATGACTTGCTTTAACAGAATCCATTTTCATTGCTTTGATCAAGCTGAACAAGGAGCTCAATACAATCCTCCCTCACACAATCCTATTATGCTAATACAGGCAGTCCCCAACTTACGCAGATCCGACTTATGTCGGATCCGCACTTACGAATGGGGCTTTTCTCGCCCCGGAGCTCACGGGCAGCAGGTCGCCACCTGTGTCCTCCGGGGCGAGAAAAGCTTCTCCCGGTCTCCCTGGTCCGCTGCGGGCGTGCTCCAAGGCTTTGCTCCCCGTCTCCCTGCAGACCTGGGGACAGGAGCAAAGCCGCGGAGCACACCCGCAGCGGGACAGCCCAAGCGCGCCTGGGCTGTCCCGCTGCGGACGTGCTCTGCGGCTTTGCTCCTGTCCCCCTGGTCTGCTGGGGGGGTTCAGCAAAGCCGCTGGACCCCCCCCGAAGA